AAACCTAACCCTAACCCTAAACCTAACCCTAAACCTAACCCTAACCCTAAACCTAACCCTAAACCTAACCCTAACCCTAAACCTAACCCTAAACCTAACCCTCACCCTAAACCTAACCCTAAACCTAACCCACACCCTAAACCTAACCCTAAACCTAACCCTAAACCTTACCCTAAACCTTACCTTAAATTGCGCTTCTGTCGGCGCGCTGTTGTCGGCGCGCTTCAGCGCTCATTCGTCGGCACGGTTTTGTCACCGCGGTTTAGTCAGGTGCGCTTTTGTCGTTCGCGCATTTGTGGTGGAACCATATTTATAACCTTCCCAATGCAGCACATGGGATGTATCCAAGCCATTGGCACCACTCACATTATTCTTGATTAGAAGCGTTCCCCATAACACCAACCCGCATCGCCCAATTCTTTCTAATGAAAATGCTCCACACCATCACGCTTGAACATTACTTTTACATAAGCAGTCGGCACTCTTCACAAACTGTATTAGTAGAGTTATGGGGGTCGGCACCTACCCCCTTATCCTCATCCTCCTCATCCTCATGCTGTTCAAGCGGGCATGCTTCTGTTGAACTCACCAACCGTAAGGTCTTCAAAAAATCTCGCTCCCTTGGCTAATAAACACAGACAGGAGAGAGGAGAGCAAAGACACAAGACAGACCACAAATGAAGAGAAAGAATATGAACGGAAGAACATAATGAAGGGAGTAAGTGCCAAGCAGAGGAGACAAGAATGTTCACAATGAAAGGAAAGGACATGATATCAAAGGGGAATGTTAGACAATTATAGTGGGAGCCATACTGTAACATAATTATTTTTAATTGGAAAAAAAAGAATATTTAGCATCCCACACGTGGGTGATTTTTAAAGAAAAGAAAACCAGAAAATGAAAAGACAACTGCTTTAGAAAAGATTGTTTTTTTCTAAAGGAACAACAAAAAAAATATTAGATTACTAATTATAAGACGTTCTAATCCCTGCGCCCCCCTCCCAGTTATGCATCGAAGAAATGCTGACTTAAGATAACAACTAATATCAATTAAATCTGTAAGACAGTTGCATTAAAATTAAGAAACTTACTAAAATATCTCCTGAAAGAACTTCCAAAAGAGAAATCAAGTTATGTCCATCTCTCAGATCTTCGTACAGGTCATTGACGTGTTTTCGAACCTATAAAGAAAATCAGATTAAAAGTCAATGTGTGGTCTTTTTCCAGGAGAAATATTTATATACACTCCCGCTGAATGCAATGACATTTATACCAAGGCGAGTATAGAAAAGACTACAGTCTTACTGTAATAAATTGTGTTGCAACGCCCAGGGAACACATACATACTAAGGACCATCTTAGTGTATTGAAAAATATAGAATATACTTTCCATATGATCTTCACTTGAAATTCTCATCACACACACACCACCCCAACAAAGACTTCAAAGTGAAAATAGAGACTCTAGGATGCAATAATGCATAAATATCATTTCAGCATTACTGCAATTAGGATAAAGAGTCCTTGAAATTGAGAAGAACCACACCTATTGTTTATCCGATTAGCAGGTAATGAGGTAAATTATTTTTCTATCAATTATTAAAGAATACTTTACAGCTCTCTAATAAGAAATCCATTCCTTAGAATATATGGTTTTACTGTGCTTGCCAAAAGGGAAGAAAATGATTGTAGAACTAAAGGTAAAAATTATTGTGTTATGATTTACAACAGTGTTAATTTACTTGGACCCTAAAATACAGTAGTCCTTCCACTAATAGTTACCG